AGAGTAGTCTGACTCATCCCCCTGTTATTTGTGGGGGAGCTCGGTAAATGCCTGCCCTGTGGCTCCAGAAGCTGGGAAGCTGCTCCTCTGAACCCAGCCAGAATGGAGAGCACCCTCTTCTTCAAAGCTTAACAAGCACCTAACAATATCGATTACAGAAGAGGCTGCTTTAGGTTGCTGTAGTCAATAGTTCTGCCTTAGCATTTGCTAAACCATTTAATTATCTACATTTACCTTTTAAAGAAAAAAATCATTGCTACCATTTTTTTTCTTGAGGTGAGTAGCGCTTTTAACCACTGGCTAAAGTGCACCCAGTGTTAATTAGCATATTTATGATTAAGTAGATTTAGCATGCAGTAATCATTCTCTAATTCAGTAAGAACTATCTCCAGTGAATAGTGGACATTAATGACAGTTGCAAGAGCTTAGATATTACATAATCACTAATTACATTCTGCACAATTAGTGCTGCCTCCTCCATGTGCATCGCTAATGGCTGATTCGTGTCATCAGCCTATTCTGCCTGTAAGAAATATAAACAGCCTGCATAATTCTCTGGTTATAGTAGTCTAGAGAAGGACATTATTAATGAAGTTTGGGGACCACAAAGAGGTTTTTATGTCAGGACAAAAGCAAAAGGGCTCTCTTCAGTCTCATACAAATTTTTTCTTGATATACATGTTGTTCATTATAAATCTCAAAGCCCCACCAATTTACAGACTTTTCCTCCCCAATTCAGACACTGAATACATTTGGCCTCCACTGACATTTTTCAGTATGCATGTGGCAAAAAAAAGAAAAAAAGAAATCCAACTGCCGAAATAGTCTATAAATATCAAGAAGTAAACATGATACAAAAGTCAATTGCAAAAATTTGATTTAGGTGAAAAGCCAGTATCATCTTCAATACTGATTGCAAGTAATGTGAAATTGTTACAAGGAATTCACTTTTATTTAAACATTCTTAATAACAACAAATATAACACATTTTAGTGTAGTCCTAAACTGGTCTAGTATGAAACCCCATCCAGTTCTATGGTGTTTACTATGTAGCATGTGAGTGCACCTTAATGTGAGAAGTGCTTTGTCATTTTAATGCAAGATGCTGCTTTTGAATAAGCACATTTCCCTACCCTGTAATATTGGACGGTGCCTTTGCTCCATTCACCCAGAATGATCACAGAGGATGAAAAGCCAATCTAAGACAATAAGCTCACTCCAAAAGAGCCAAGAGAAAAATGTGCCCTTTATGTGTAGAATGAATATCTCTCCTGCAACTGTGTTACATTCAAAAATATAAAACACCAGATGAAATTGGGTATCTGAATAATATGCATTATTTCAAACACAGGACTTGAGAAGCAGACATAAGCCAGAGATAGGAAACTCATATTCATGTGAGTAATCCTTGTTATTTTCTGATGTGGAAGTTAAAATATCTTCAAACATTGTTGAGATAAGTAAAGGATGCAGCTTAATATTGCCATAATATTTATACAAAAAGAGTAGTAGATTTTGGGAGAAATTCTATATTTAAATTTGATAATAAAAATATTATAATGAAAAGAGTATCTAAAAGAGTTACTATTATTAAAGTGAACTAATACAGTATTGCACTGTATGGGACTTAATTTCAAGCAATTCCCATACAATTTTATACTTAAAGCTTATTCATTTTTTGCAGCAATATAGCCAAGACAATATAATATTTAATTATAATATTGTGCTGCCAGTCTTTTCTGCACATACTGTCAATGACGTAAAAACTTTCAGAAAATACTGGCATATCCCAAGTAACTTCATGGTTTAGATCTGCAGTGTTTGTTGATTATTTCCTGTAATAATTGTGCTTTAAAGATTGTACCGAGGAAAAAATATCCTTGGAAATAAGCAGATTTGATTCAACAGGGAACAAGCTATTTTACATCAGTGCTTTTTATTAAAAGGAAGACTCTAGTCCTATTTAGAACATTTAGATTTATGGTAAACAATGAAAAAATGCTGTTTAAATAAATAAACAGAAATTGTAATTACAGATGAGATCAGTGCATCCTTTTTTCTTTCTTTGATACTGAGATAAACAACACATTGATTAACAGTTTTTAGAAACTAGAGCTTCTGTACATTAAAAAAAGAACTTTGTTTTAGCAAAAGTATAAAAATAACACAGAATAAGTTATAATGGGTTTGTTGTTCTAATTAATGTAACCGGGTTTGCATTCTTTTTTTTAAAAAAAGTCATTTCTATCATACACACACGCGCACACACATCTTTTTACAATCATAGGCTTTTATTTTTTAAAACAAATGAAAATACATGGACTACCAACTAAATTAACAGTTCCATGTTTTCATTTTAAGAACATGTACGTTCATATTTTTTGATAAATGATAACAACATAATTGCATTTGTGCAAAACTTCTAAACCCCTCCATTTTAAAAGGACTGTTTAAATTAAAATTTGTACTAGAAAAAGTAATAAAATATTTATTTTATCATCTGAATTAATTTATATAACCTATGCAAAATAATGTTAGCTAGTCAAGAATATTTTATTGAATATTCTTCAGTAAAAATACCTGAACAATAAAAAGATAAAAGTAAATGCATCTCCAGTCCAATGAAATCTATCTGTCTGTCTATCTGTCTATCTTTGTCATTGTATTTGTACTATTCTTCCAAGGTTGCTCCTATAAGATCACAATTCTATTTAGCACAACTATGTGGATATAGTGTCAGTAATTGCACTTAAGGTCTGTCCAGTGTTGTCAAGATTTCTGAACCATAGTATTCAAGTTGCTACTTTATTATCACTTGTACACTTCAGTGAACCAGTTTTCACCCGAGGAATCTATTTTTACGAACTAGCTGACTGGTAGTAAATGTGGAGAAGCAGGGACTCAGATGACAAGCCTATTATGGCCAGATGACTGGCAATGGATGGATGGAGGATATCACCTGAAGGACCCACAGTTTGAGACTCACTGATAAAGACAGAATTGTGGCATTCATAAGGATAAGGTATAAACAATAATACTATCTGATACGTATTTACCATGATGTAACGAAGCATGGAATGCTTTGAGAGCAAAGATAATCAGACAGAACATACTTAAGTAGCATTTGGCAAATAACCTGGAATGTCAAACATTCCCCCAAACAATAGTTTAAAGTAATAAGGTGGCCTTCACACATTCTTATATTTATTTACAGCATGTATTCATATATTAATTGATTTATAGAGGAGTTAAGCTGGTTACAAACAACTGTAAATCTACCAGAATGAGATGCCCTAAATGCATTTTGTTTAATTGGTTAAACAGCCTTTGATTCTTATTATGTTATGCAAAAATAAGTCTCATTGATGTTTAAAATGTCAGTTAATATCCTACAGTGATGCAAAATATTCACCCTAACATTCCAAGTAGCTTAAAAAAGAATACATGCATTCTTCTTAATTTTAGGCTAGACAATAAAAAGGAGACAGGCTTTGTTTGATAAACTAGTGAATTGGAGGCTGAATGGGAATTTATACTTCTCTAGCTAAAATCTGGCAATGCTGATATTTATGAATTCATTTTTAAATACTAGGCTTATATGCTGCTACAATTGCTGATGACTCTGAGTGGTATATAAGCTATATCTGTGTATATAGATGTACATACCTGATATCCATAAATCAGGTCTAAAAACAGAACAACAAGATTACAATAATAATAACCAGATAATGCATGTACACTGGAAGTTAGTTGGTGTAATGATTACGGAAGGCCAACATTCTCTCCTAAGGCAGAGAAGCTCCATCTCTCAACCCTAGATTAGAAAATAAAAAAGCATGTACTTATGAAGATCCACAACACCAGCATTTTGTCATCTTCATCCGTATCAGTCAATTACATTAAAAAAAAAACCTCCAGTGCTAAAGGGAACAGCATTAAAACATCTAAAGAAACTATTCAGATTCCAGAGCAATGGTGCAACTTCCTATCATCCATTTTTTATTAGCCACTAGAAAAACAAAGACACTCTTGAGAAATTCAAGTAATTTCTTGGTATCAAAGTGTAAATGGTTCGCCATTGCTTTCTTCCGTCTGGATGGCCAATGCTCTCTTTGCCTGAAAATAGGTAAGTTTTAATGCTTTCAAAAGAATCTGCCTCCCAGGAAATCTGTAAAGTCTGGATGCCTGATTTTAAGTATACCAACACATTTCAAAAGAAAGTAAGTCATTAAAACTAGTTTGGGAAATGGGGATACACCTATAAGACACAACAGTCCTATGGTTAGGATACAGTATTGTACGCTAACTTTGCCCATTGCTGGGAGTTCGATCCTGACCAGTTCAAGGCTAATTCAGCCTTCCATGCTTCTGAAGTGATAAAATGAGGACCCAAATTGTTGGGGGCAATATGCTGACTCTGTAAACTGCTTAGAGAGAGCTGTAAAGCACTGTGAAGCGGTATATAAATCTAAGTGATATTACTAGTTCTTGGTATCAACGTGTAAATGGTTTGCCATTGCTTTCTTCCATCTGGATGCCCAATACTCTCTTTCCCTTAAAAAAGGTAAGTTTTAATGCTTTCAAAAGAATCTGCCTCCCAGGAAATCTGTAAAGTCTGGATGCCTGATTTTAAGTATACCAACACATTTGAAAAGAAAGTAAGTCAATGGAATAAATATCCTAAGTCATAGGCAGGATACTAATCACCCAAGTAATGCCTAGGATGCCTTGATATCTCATAAAGTTTCAAAACAGACATATGAGAATAAATGTATAAATAAATAAGTGTGTATTCAGTAAACTTAGAGCTGTGGTAAGTAATATGTTTGGAACAAATCTCAAATGTTTACTATAGAGTGATTTAGCAGATTCTCCACAGAAAATAGCAGCATCTATATAATTCTTCAAAATGTAATGCATTTATCCTGCATAATGAGAGAAGTAAATCTACCAGTATGTAGGTCACAAATACAATTAGATTTTGAATGGAATATGGTTGAGAAAATTTGTGAAGGTGGTTAAATGGATCAAATGTACTTGCTGGGTAATAAAGATATGAGATGAATTCAGACTCACAATTCATTCTTATATATGCTTACTCAAAGGTAAGTCTATCTGAGTGCAGTGGATTTTTCTCCTAGATAAATGGATGTAAAATTGCAGCTCACAATAGTTGATGTGTTCCTAAAAATAAATTGGACAATTGGTTATTATATAAATCCTGATTATTTCAATGGGAACACAGCCTGACTAATTTACTTGTATCTAAACTACATCTGTTAGGATCATTTCATATGGTAAACCCTCTTGAGTGCAATAATTATAGGTTATAAAGATTTCTATATTCCTTTCAGTATGACTGTACCTTTACGGAATCATCCTTTAAAGAATGAAACCCATATATAGATCCTATTCTGATATGAGAGAGGGGAATTACAAATGCCACATTGACTTAAACATATTTAAAAATCCATTGTTAACAATATGCTCATAACTCTACATTTGATCACTGTCAATAGATTTATAATTCTCAAATGACATATATGTAAGGACAATGCTATGACTTATATTTCCCAGATAATTAAAATTAATTTCTACATTATTAAGTTCTCAGTATATCTGAACAATATATATAGATATAGACTTGATTCAACTTCCAATGCAGTTACAAATAATATTTTACTGGCCCTGCTAGGAGTCAAGCTAGATATACAGTCTGTTAAATGTTGCCTTTTAGCCAAACAGCTATAGGTCTAATTTACCATGTAATCACTCTAATTTTATGCCAGTTAGATTCTATAGAGATCCATGAAGTCAGCCTATTGTAAAACAGGAATTACACAATGAAGCCACTGGATTCATGTGTTGGTTATATTATCTGGAGCTGGCTATTAACAGGGTGCAATCATACAATTTCTTCTGTCAAGGGAGGACTCACACTACTCTAGCAGCTGCCAAAAACAGGGAGGAAAACCCTGCCAGCTAATTGGCAATTATTCAAGTAGATAAATACTTTCATAGTAGTGAGTTCCTAGAGAAGAAGAAATAAATCCACTCAATAGTAGTTACTTTGGAAGAAGAATTTCTAAATCTCTAATATAAATTGGGCTAGGATTATACTCTTTTTCTGCATAAAGGAGCAAATCATTAGATTTAGTTTCACATGATCAGATAAGATTTAAAAACAGTTTATGACATTTCCAGTGTGTATTTTGAGACAGCTGACAGATAATATAATCCATTAGCTAGTCAGAAGGCACTAGGTTTTAAGGATCAAGGAACAGTCTTCAGAGATTAGTGTTCTGCCACAGCCTTTAGTTTCAATGGTCTGAATCTCCACCCATGTAATTCCGAGTAGTTGTGGCCACATATATGTAGTAGCTACATATAAATCAGTGTGTGTAGTATAGATTTGAAAAGTAGCACTAGGAATCTTAGTCCACACTGGACCCCAGTAGAACCAAAGTTCTCTCTCCCTCTGCCCATGGTTCTTGGGCTGTTTTCTGAGGCACAAAGTGTTTGTTCTCTGTTGACAATAATTATGTCACTGTTCCCCTTTGACTTCCAAGAAGGCTACATAGAGATTTCTCTGGCAAAACAGTGCTCTCTTCTTGGGTGTGGATTAAATGCAGGTCTTGGAAGAGAATTTACATAAGTGCTGTTTGTCAAAGCAACAGCTATTCCTTACATTATCAGCCAAACATTTAAATCTTAATGATGGGCACTGTTGCCTAAAAGATGGCGATTTTCCTGCTGAGAAACTGCATTAGATTCAAGGGACACAGCTCATTTCCATTCACTCAGCAGTCTCTCTAGCAATGACATGCAGTGCTTGAAACTGTTTATTTCCAAATTCAGGCCTCCTCTGCATCAGTCATCAGCTTCAATTACCAGTTTTCCCGGAGCCAAGCCATCAGGCAGCCTGACATCAGGGTCCAACCTAATTCCCACCTTCTCCAAAGTCAAGAGCATAATGTGCAGATGAAAAGGTGGGAAATAGCCTGGACTTCATTAGCATGCAGAGGCTGCTTATTCATTTGCTTGCTGCGAATGAAAGTTCTGACACTCAGGCGCTTTTCTGCAATATGAGAAAAAGGCCTCTTCAGAGTATATGATGTCCTTACTGGCAAGGAAAGGTCATCAAACAGGCAGACACTGACCTTGCTCCCTGCTCTTCATGACTAGTTTATTGATTCCAGGAACACCTCATTACATGCTGGATCAACATATTATTGCTATGTTCAGTGACTGAATTGTTTACAAGTGTCTTTATTGCTGGCAAAAGCCATCCACAGGATGCACGACTGCACTCATTTGGATGTGACCTGCCAATTATGTGTTATCCGATATGTTGCTGGCTGTCTTGATCCTTGACCGGGGCTGCTGCCCTGCATCAGTGCAGTCCCATTTACTACTTCTTTCTAACCGCTCTTTGGGAAAGTATCCATTAGCCTGTCAGTGTGTAAATTTGTTTTCTTACCTTCGCTACAGGAAATCGGGAGCGTTATTGTGCTGTCATTTGCTATGCATGAGGTTCATAATCAGTTGGGGGAAGGAAGGAATGTTTTTATTGTGTCTCATGATAACCTACACAATTTGTAGTCAGGCTGCATTGCAAGAGAGTAATGGGACTTGTTACAGAGCCACACATAGGCCCAATGAGAGAGACCTGTCATATTTTATTTTATTCAGGCACGGCTCCTGAAAAGCCGTGCAAGACCACTGATTTATTAGCAAGAGAGAAAGCAGAGAAACAATTCGGCCACCCCCACCTCCACAAGCTGCTGATTGCCTGGCTCTAAAGCCCAATAACTTACCGCACAGGAAATGGCTTTTCCCCTTCTGTGTCTGTGGTTTTTTTTTTTTTCCTCTTGTGGCTTGCATTATTATCAAATAAATATGTGTCTGATTTTAAGTACATCAGAGAAGTTGTGCCAGCAGACCAAACCAAACGCCCCCTCTGGCCCAGCATACTGTCCCAACTACAGGCACCAACTGCAAGCACAGGCAATGTGTGTGTGTGTGTGTGTGTGTGTGTGTGTGTGTGTGTGTGTGTCCCCAAATGGGGCCAAAGCACAATAGCCCTTTGTGCTTTAGGTTGCCCAGCAACTACTTACAGACAGGTGCACTCCCTCTGATTCATAGCCATTATGGCATGGCAACATTGGGCAGTCTGCTCCCATTCCCACATTTATTGTCACTCCTGAATTAAAGGAGGTGTACTATTGCGCAACCATTCCCCGATTTTGTCCTCCAACTTCACGTGCTTAGAGGAAATCTGAAAGGATGTCCTATTAGAGGCTTCTTCAGTCTTTTGCATGGAATAATGTGTAAAAACAGCTCATCATTTCCAGGCATGGAGCTAGCAAATTACGTATGCCTCAAATATCTCAAAGACATCACTTACCTTTTCTATACCCCTCACCCCTTAGAAAGCTTCTGATGTATTCTTGCACCCCTTACAACAATAAATATGTATCTATAATATTGAAACTTCTAAACCCAAGTTTTCACACCGCCTGGAATATTGTCTCGCACCCCCTCTTCTTCTAAGGAGAAGAGCAAAAGGGGAAATATTTAATCACATGGCTGAATTTATGGTGTGCATGTAGGGAAAACACAGCTTCCAAATCAGAGTTACAATAAGGCAGAGTTTGTTTCTATTAGGAGGTATGATAACAGGATTAGGCAGCCTTTATAGATTTTCCTTTGATTCAAACACATACATTTGGGAATGTATCAAAAATATTGGGGTAGCATGCTATGTTTTGAGAAGGCAAAAATCTCAGCTATGCATTTATCAGTCCGTTCTTCTCAGTCTGAAGTCAGCAAAGTCATGGTTCCAGCTCGTCTTTCACTGATATTCTAAGGAATATTGAGATACTACGAGTGCCGCAGTGTGAATATTTGAATGAAGCTGTATACATAATAAAACACAGTAGGGTATAATGTTTAAGGTGTTGATCTAAGGAAGATCCAGGTTCAAGGCCATTCTCAACTATTGCATTCCCTGAAGATATGCCCACACTGCACCTTCTCCTGACAAAGATGTTTTAGCAGAAACTGGCTAGCTGTTCATGCAAACTGCAGGCTATCTCAAAACCCTACGGGACAGTTCTGTGTTCCAATTGCCTCCTGCCTTTCCAAGGAACTGCCTGTCATGATTCTTCCTGTGTTTTGTCTTACTGATCATATTGAGATACTTGTGTATATACATTTATCGTAAAAATGCTGAATGGCGGACTTTAAAAACAAAGCAAAACCCTAAGGGGGGAAAACACTAATTAAAATTTTTCTAGTAGCTTCAAACTAAGAACATTCTGGATACAAGACAAGTATTATCACCATTAGGCTAATAAGGGGAAAATAATAATATAGCAACTTTGTCAGGTATGATTCTAGAAAAGAAGGAAAATCATGGTGGGAGACATTCCTGACTCTGTGAAATAGTCAGTCAACATGTAGGGGAGCCTCTTGTAAAAATAAACTTATTGTATATGTTCATGTATAAGCTGAGGATTTTAGCTGCCAAAATGCACCTAAAATCAGGTTTGGCTGATCTGTGGATGGGTTTAGCTGCAGGCATAAATAGTAATATTTTTTAAATGCCTATATTTCTCATATACTATATATTACCAGTTATGTCCACACCTGAATAAGCAGGCCCTCAAATTGATAATCAAAGCATCATAACAAATATGAGTCAGTTTATTTGCAAGAGGCACATTTTTCATGATAGTTTTGTTAAAAACTTGTGAGTTGGCTCCCCCTTGTTGGGCATAATATGCGAGTCCTGGTATATTTGGTACCCATTGTAGATGAATGAGAATCTTGTTTTCAAGGTTGTGAGCTGTTGTAAGTGACAAACATTCATACAGTATTGACTTTTTCTTCTATGAATAATTGAATGCACATAGTTATGTTGAAGAGACCTTAGGGCTTATGTAGCAAACCAAATAGAAAAAATGGTAGCTGAATAAAGAGATTATATCCCACTTCTTAGATTAAACACACAACTAGGTGTTTTGAATAGTCTTCCAAAATCACCCCAGAAGATCTTTTGATAAAAGAAACTGATTTGATAAAATGTGCCTTTATATAATCAGTTAGCCATCTCCAAGTTAATTTTTCTGTTGTGAAGCAAGCAATGAAAGAGAATGCACCAGCCTTGATCTCAGGGGAAAAAATACATTGCCAGGGGGAAGTTGAAAACAGTTTATCATTTCATTTAATCAGGTTCCATGCCCCAGCTGAATAAATGCTGAGAAGATCAGTTTGCATGGCATTGAAAATAATGATTGATTTGAAGAACTGCGTATTGTTAATTCCTTTGAGGTTCTCTAGATCTAATGTTTTGGGCCTTTTATAGCATTTGATGATCCAAAAGATTTTGGGAGGGGAGTGTCAACAGGCTCAATTGAACATTAATTATATGCACCAGGAACCTTATGCTCCCAAGCAAAGCCACTGAGGTCATGACAGAAAATCTAATTATGGAATAAGATCAGATACACAACATGGTGTTATAAGGATAGAGTTATTTTATGAACTGTGTAGCTTTAGTTAATGATTGTATTTCTTCAGGGGAATCTCAAAATTGAATCAGATGCTAAAGGAGCTATAATTATGTTATCTATAGTTATGTTATCAGCAGTTGGAGCCTGGGAGGGGGGAACTATAATGATAAACCAGTGTTTTCAACCTGCAAAATCTAGCCATTCAAAGAAACATTTCTGAGGAGTTGGCTTAAGCTGTTTTAGACTAAAAAGAATATTGTCAGCCAGTTCCTTCTCTTCTGAAGGCCAAACTAGGCACTGATGTACTAAGTTTTCTGACTGTCATATTACATTTTACTAAACAATGAAAGGCAAGTGTGGTGCAAGATTCAGAATTGTAGAGCTAAAGAAAGAAGCTTGGTCATTTCTTCCAAATTATTATATCTAAAGCTGTTGTCCTTAGACAGTAATGATTCCAGAAGTAAATTTTAGCAGGAAAATAGGATAGAGTTAAATAACAAGAAAATGTGAAAAAAGTCTGAAAATGGAATGGATACATATGCATTTTGCCTGAGGTTCCAGATGCTAGAAACATAATTCATTGCAGATTGGAGGAGCTACAGATCTTATCAGAGTGAATAATTACTTTTGTTATAGTATTCTTATGTATCTTATGGATTCCAATTTCAAGATCTTTAGGGCAGTTCAGAAGCTTTATATAAATTAATCATATGAAGAGACAGCACAGTAGCCCAAAACATGTGTATTCCTTAGAAAAAGTCTGCTGAAGACTTTGATCTTTTGCTAATAAGAGGCAGCTGACATATATAAAAAGCAGGAAAAGTCTGGAGGAAACCAGATATCAGAGAATGCATGTGGTCAAAGATAGTGTCCCAGACCCAGCAGACATGACATGAGAGATGGCATTAGGATTTCCCAAGACTTAAAAAGGAATACATGGGTTCAACCATCAGAATCTTTCTAAAAGTTGCTTTCAATTTTTTATTATTAATGAAAAGTAAAAATATTTGCTTTTTTACTAAGTTGATTGAAAAGTTTATGAGTAGCGTGTTGGGAGCAGTATTCAAAAATGTTGGTTGCTACTTAATGGTATTGTTCTCCAAGTAGAGTATAGCTGTTTTTATTGCAAGTTGCCAAGAAATGGTTGAGTTGGTAAGTAAGTAAGTAAGTAAATAAATAAATAAATGTTGAACTGCCTTTACTTTTTTCTGAATAAACAATGAAAGCAACAATTAGACCCACTTTTGTATCCTGCCTTCATTATTGTTTATAAATAACTCAAGGCAGCAAACATACCTAATACTCTTTCTTCCTCCTATTTTCTCTACAACAACCCTATGAGCTAGGTTGGACTGAGAGAGAGTGACTTTCTGGGTCACCCAAGGTCACCTTGGCCAGCTTTCATGCTTAAAATAGGACTAGAAACCAGTTTCTAGGTTTTTAGGCTGTTGCCTTAACCACTAATTTAAACTATGCCCCCTGTATCCATAAACAGTTAACTATAGTGCTGAGCAAGGCAAAAGATTCACTGAAAGGAATTCACTTCAACAACACAATTTATGATCCCAATGTCCATCAAGAGCAAAAATAAGCTTTTTAGGCTATTGAGTGAAGGAGTTTTTATGCACAATCTTGCATTGTGGACATTTTTTTTGCCACTGGCTGCTTGAACTCAACAAACAAAACAAGCTTGATTTTCATCTGAAAATAGAAACCTAGAGTCTCCATGGCATATCAACTGTACTTGTTATGCACCTACACAGGGGCCACTTTTCTATTTAACAATCTTTGCCAAACTTAACAAAAAAGCAAGATAATTTCTGCAATGCTAAACACGATAGCAGTGTTTCATGTAATGCAACTACATCTGTTTGCATCACTCAAGCTGCCTGAAAAAGAGATCATAAGATATAAGAGGACAATAACAATATACTGTGTTTCTCATATAATAAGGCCAGGTCTTATTTTTTTTTGAGCCCCGAAAAAATGGCTAGGCTGTCTTTTCGGGGGTGACTTAATTCCCCCCCCTTGCATCTTTGGGTGGGCGGGCAGCGACGGCTTGGATGTTGACCTTGGCGTTGGTGGGGCACTTCGTATCGGGGTCAACGCAGGCAGCACCATATCGGGTGTGCAACAAAAGTACTTCCCTCCCATTTTGCATGTTTTAATATAGGCCTTAATTTGGGGGGAGGGGATTAATTTCATTTCATGCCTATAAAACATGCTGGGACTTCCTATTGGGGGAGGCCGTATTGTTGGAGAAACAGGGTACTAATATTGTATAGGACACAGCAAATATCTCCAACTTATTTGAAACTTACCTGACAGGCAACAGTTGCTTTCTTCTGTCCACAGTTATTCTCAGTTAACATGAGTTTTAACTGATTTTCCATCACACCTAATCTGTCCAATCTGCTCCAGCCAATGCTGGCCATGAATAGGACTTCTCCCTGTTGTTCCATCATGTTGCAGTCTTGGAGCATTGCTTCAAGGCTTGTTTTGAGGTTTTGCATCAGCCCAAAAGTGATACTTCCTTCTGAAAGAGTAACATTAAAAATGCCCATTTGCAGCTCAGGCTACTTGAAGTTCAGAATGTTTTCCTTGCTCCCTATAACATTCAGATATGTAATCTAATTACTGTAGTCTGAAATGGTACAGCTAACAAGCTTGACATCTATTTCATGACTATGTGTGTTAGCTTTAAAAATGTGTTTGTTCATCTTATATAATTCTTTCTTAACAAATCCAAATATTAAAAGGGGCCCAACGTGGGTTGTCTAGCATATAAAGTATTCAGCGGATAATCCAAAACCACGTGAATACATATGTGTGCTTAAAATAACAATTGAATCAGAAAAAAATGCTTACCATAAATAATAAAAATATTGTTAAGTTTGTTAGATGACAAAATAATAAATTTGGATAAAAAGATGCCTGCTGTCTACAGAAGAAATCATAAAATTTTTAAGCATTGCAACATGAAAATATAGTGTGATAGTAATTTTCAGAAGCCAGTATTCTTTTACTTGGCATTCATTTGTTTGCAACTAACAAAATATTTTTTAAATCCAACAAAAGTATATTACAAAACTCAATGTGGTTGGATAAGAAAAAAACAATGGCAGAATACCAATTCTAGTGGTATTCCGGTTATATATGTGGAAACTGAGAAGAAAAACTGAAAAGGGAAACCTATAATGTATGAATCTCACTGCTGAAAATCCATAAAGTTCCTCCAATTTGTTCTCTCTATGACAAAAAAAGCAGAATGCTAGAGATCGAAATAAATATCTGTTTGTTTTGCCTTGGCTTTAGTACAAGGAGGGATCTTAAATACATACCCCATCCAAAATGTCCTTGAATTAAAAATAAAGGGAAGAGGGTAATTCCAAGTAAAATATAGTGAAGGAAAAATGGACTGCTGTTATTTAGGAAGTCCAGATATATTGCAAGGTCTCAATAAAATAATGTACATATATTTAAAATGCTATACAATATACATGTTGAGAAGGAGGAGAAAGAATAAAAGCTGCGAAGAAACGTATCAGTATGGAATATTCCCATTCATAGTATCAACTATGACTATAGTTGCTAACTAACTTCCTTCTATTTTGTTCGTGGAATAACTGTTTTGTCTAAATTTTACCATTTGTATGAGGCCAGTTTTATATTTATGGTGCCATTTAGATTACCTAAGGATTAACAGTTAGAGAATGCATTTTCTACCAATGAACATGTCAGTATCTTGGTTCTAAGTTGTTGGAGCTTGGTTGATTTCCACTGGATATATTTTGTTATGTTATATAATTGTTATATATACATATTGTAGATTAAAATGGTTTTCCAGGGATTCTCTTCCCCCAGAAAACACTGGGAATTGCAGTTCTGTGAGAACTAGAAATCTCTAAATTGTGTACTATATTTCCACATTATCCACAAAGATGAATAATTATCCACCTAGTTTATATTTATAATGTGAATACAGGCCTTACAATCCAATCCTGATAGAAGTAAATCTTCCTATTTCTAAAAAATATCAAGTTTCAGATTGCATAGGAGATTTTCCAAAACGATTCCCCTCTTCTTACACACATTGATGGTACTACTGTATGCCTGCCACATGTACCCAATTTATTTTCCGAAGCTTGATGGCCTTGAGAAAAATTCAGATTTCCAGAAACAGTAATTACCAACTGAATAACAGAACAGTGCTAATATATGCCTTTTGAGCCTAACTCAGATGACATTAACCTCCAGAATATCTTTGCAAACCTTGAGGTCTGAATAAATAATACAAATATTCAGGCAGTACAGAAGAGAATCCTGGAAGCTGTCAAAGGTAATGATAGAAAAAGGTGCATATTCTCTCCAAACAAGCTACTGCTAAGGGAAACTCTTGGTGCATACAACAGAATATAGAGAAGATTTTTACCTCCTTTCTTTGTGGGACCAGTAAACTGGTAAGTAAGGAGAGATCAGCAAGTGGTACAATATAGAGAGGGTTGGCACAAGAAGATATCAAGACTTGTTTCTGAATTTAGAGATAAAAGTGGAAGCTCTGGAACTAGATAGGAAGAGTCAGCCATATCCCAGCTATCCTAAAGGGATCAATGTAAATTCTGGATTTGGAAAAAGACTTTTAAAACCGTATTAAAATAAAATAAAATAAAAGTATTTCTCCTTCCTGATATTTCACCTAGAACAGAAGAAGAGTAAAATGTTATTAGTTTGTAGTCTTCAGAAAGCAATTAATATAACAGGCATAATTTAGCACTTTTAAATTCCATCAATTTTAGTGAGATAAACATTAAGACTTACATATTTAATTTTATTTAAATTAAAAGGATCAAATATTTCTCAGTTTGGCTATACCATGTCCTCAACTAAGACGTGAAGTCTTGAAACCAGTACCATACAGGACTGTATAGAATTTCAGCCATGGGATTATTAGATTACTTGATAATTTTATTGAAATTGTAAAGGAGTGTAGAATTTCAAATTGTCATTATCTTCATTTATTGAAATCTTGGATTATGGCATATGTCAACATGTAAGGAAACAAGCATTATTAAAATCATTTGAGAAGTGATTTGCATATGCATAGAAACTGCATATTTTTCAGGGATTAAAAAAAATCTGTAGAAATGATGTAAAATGAAAATAATCGTAATAAAACATTGATCTCAGATACTTCAATGAATCTCTGATGGTCATCAAAATATTTACCATCAAACCTGACATAGATCAGCACTGGGCAAATAGTGTTTGTGTCCACAATAAAACCCAGGTTGATAGAACGGCTACAGATCCCAGAACGCTAATAGGAAAACAGAAAATAGTCCTTTTAAATATTGCATTTAAATATCATGATAGTATGACAAAAGAATGTTTCTTATTCAGGTTAAGTGCTCTGGTTTAATCATATTAAATGTTTCATTATACTTCTGTTACTCCTAGTACTTTGTAACTCTATTCACTGGGGAAAATGTGGCAAAATGTTTTGGTTTTTCAAAATAGCTTTTTTTTTACAAAGGAAAGTTGGTTTTGATATAATAGTTGCCTTTTCGGAAATCTCATTCTTTGGATGATAGGCTTAACCATAAAATCCCAGGATGAGAAGAAAGAAAAAAGAGAAAGAAAGGAAGGAAGGAAGGACAAGTTCTGTATTGCAAACTAACGAATACTTAAGGATTGCAATCCCATTGTAGGACATATTAAATTAACTAAGGAACCACATACTACACTCAAAGGTACTGAATTGCACTGATTTACTGAATTTATGAAGTATTATTCCCTGGGCTTGTGTTGGATCTCATTTGCCATTGAATATTATCTGCTTTCTAACCCAGATACCTTAGGGTAAGAGCAACTAACTCTGGTGTTCACAGAAGTCTCATGATTCTCAAATGGTTGTAGTAAACAAATAGAGAAGAGAGATGGAGGACGTCTTCCAGAACTCAAGTAAGCACTTCTGTCTTTTTTTTCTTTCATTCTCTTTCTTGTGGTACTAACCAAGCTCTAATAAGCTAGGTTTCTCTCATTCAGCCACATGCCTGAAAATATTATCTTTTAAAAAGAGATTTGAGAAGTGGTTTGCTATTAAGTCATTGAAGAATGTTTGCCAGTATTTAAGGATCAACACTACTCTGCTCCCAATAAAGTGCAAGGACATCCAGTTATTTACTTCTCATTCAAGACCACTCTTTAGTTTTCAGCATTTTCAAGAGTCCTTCTGGTCAATAACATATTTAAGAGGGAGAAGAATTTGTACCTCTGAGTTAACTACAAATTAAACAAAATACTGAAGGCAAACTAAACAATTGATCCAACTAAACACTTTCAGCTTTGTAATTTCATTAGAAGAGTTAAGCACATCATTCACTTCAGATAAATGAATAACTGGACTGTTCTACAATAAATCCATAGTTAATATAAACAGAATCCTTATTATTGAGGAAAATCTAGAGGGATAGAATGGTGGTTTCACCAAAAAGGCAAATTTTGAAGCACTGTATGAGATTAATTATTTACTGTGGTTGACATTTTAAAGTTAAAATGTTGGATGCAACATCACCTCAGGATTTGTGGAAAGTGGGTGCTAGTCCACAAAAATCCTAATTGTTCATTTTTTAAAGGCTGCTATTTTAAATCATGTGATAAGTTATCACTAAGATACGCCATCTAATTACATTTTTGGATTATTCCTAGATTAATGTGTGAAGCACCATTTGAGATTAACACTAATTTACATCAAAGTCCGATCTATAATTTTAATGTCACCACAGGATATAGTATTCATAAAAAAATAAGTCCATACCAGAAACCCCAAAACAGAAATTTATCTCATGTTAACTAAAGAAACTCTGGAAAAAAAAGTGAGGAAATTGAACCTAAGGTATGGATATACTAGCTGGGCTGTAAAAATCCTGATGACCCCAAAATAGCAGCTGATAGAGACAGGTCAGTCTCTTTGCTGCCATCTAGCATCAGTCTGATATTTTGCGATCCACATGCAGTCCAATTTCGGTTGATAGCTCCAAATGTTGAAAACGGCAAAAGCTTCAGTCCGAGAGATATCTTTTCTTTATGATTGGGTGACAGAACGCATACATTCAATCCTTTTTTGAATCTGGAAGTATTGGGAGTGGTAGGTATTTCTTTCGGGATGTCCATTGAGCCTTCAAAGCAGAGGTGGCTTTTTATTAGCTCAGCCTGATAGTTCTTTGTGACATTTTAGTTGGTGCCACTGTAAACATTCGCCAACTTAGTCGCCCATTCCTGCCCGTCGCTGGATGCCACATCCTCGGGGGTCTCCAACCATGGCAACTTTAAGCCTAGCGGACTTCAACTCTCAGAATTCCCCAGCCAGCTTTGAAGTCCGCCAGGCTTAAAGTTGCCAAGGTTGGAGACCCCTTCTCTGCAAGGTCGTTTTCCAAAGGCCGCGTCTGCCTGGGGACACCCGGGAGTCACCTCGCTCGGGTTCCTACATCCAGTGACGTTTCCCTCAAAACCCGCTTTAGCGCTGCGCCGTTTCCT